GATGAGGCCAGGCAGCCATCCTGGGAGGAAGGCTGAGGAGACATAACGGGATTAACAGCTTCTGTGGAAAATCCATTATAGCACCATTTAACAATAGGTTACACTGTCCTCTACAATGTGAATTTACTGCCGTGTGTTATGACTCCGTTGCATTGTTCTTGCCAGGGTTGTAAAGGTTCTCTGGCCTGAGAGAATTCTATTCATTAAATTGAAATAGCAGTCCTTAAAAACATGTGTCACTAGAGTTAAAAGTGGTTACTTGTAATATGTTGGATGTAACATGATATTCAGTGTTGTCTTTCATTTGTTGGTGACTTGAAAAGGAATGCTGTGAGACATTCAAAATAGACAAAATATAAAACATAAAAGGTGATCATGATGACATCAACTTAATAAAAAAACATTATCTTAACATTTTTTCATTGCTATAGGATAGAATTAGAGTTTGTGTATTTTTAAAAACCAAGTGTATAAATCTGAATAACATTGGCCAGGATTCCTGCAGCCAAGAATTTGCTGCAGGACTTTCTGAGATTGTAAGGAACAATTTTTAGACTGTCAATACAAAAAAAATAAAAAATGCAAAATTGAAATTGGAGGTTGACTATTGTCAGGTACTTTAATACTCATCATCAAAAAATGCCAAAAATGCCAAATCAACAATACCATTGAGGATCATAAGGACGGCTGAAAAATGAACCCCAGATTTGATTGCCCATGGTTTATGTAATGTCACTTTAATATATACATAAAATGTTGACAGGTTGATTTGCAAGAAAGAAAAGATTAATGAAGTTGTTCATTTGTATAAAGTTCAAAATGTTTTAAAAGAAGAGGGACTGATTATTAGAAGAAAGACGACGGAAGAAAAGTCTGATATGAACCCATCACATCTCTGGGAAAGCAGGAAGCATCTGTCACTGGTTCGGGAACTCCTTTCTTCCATGGAAGTGTTTTTTATAGATAACATTTTGTTATCCTCACCACACAAAGCTCTGATATTCTAGGTTTCATTAAATGAAACATTCTTCATTTATAGATATTCAAACATAGGCCACCAAATGATCAAACTTCACATTTACAGATATTCAAAGAAATTAGCAAGAAAACTATGTATTTTATTTCAAATTACATTTATAATATCTTTCCTTATACACATTTTGATTAGTTTCAGTATACCAGAAAATATAACTAAGCAAATATATAGTCTCAGCTCAAGATGCTGGTGCAGTTCTCATGTTAGACAGAGAAAAGCGTACTATTCTTAGAAATCTAATGCATCTTCTCCCATGGGTTATTTTCCTTTAAAACTATTTTTACAGTGGAAAGTGCAAATGGGCGTCCATTAGAGATATTTATATATTGATTCAATTTTTCATCCACACATGCTTCTGCTTGTTGGGGAACTAACCCTTTAAAAGAAAACATTTGACACAAATGGATTTCCACTAAATTGTTCAAAGGCGGTTTGCCAGATAGTCTTATCCAAAGGTGATTTCAGTGAGATATTATTGGCTGACCTGTTTTTCTTTTGAACTAAAAACACATACATTACAAAATTTACTTTGACACAAAGTGAGGAAAATACTTATAGCATCAGAACAAGGCTCTTTGTTCCTTTCAAAGTCAGAAACAACCAATCAAAGCAAGGAGGAATATCTCACTGCTGTCAATTATGATTTGCTCAATGTAAGCAGCACATTTTAGCTCAAGATTGGCAGTTTGTACCAAAAACCAGGGGGATTGTGTGAGCAGCATGTACACAAGCATGATTGACAGTGGTATGGACCCCCTTCTGGTTGTCATTGGTTGTTTCTGACTGAGCTGTATGTTTTTGTAGATGGCAGTGATACCACTGGGAGGAGGTATTGGAGTTCAACTTTTTTTCACAGCTTATCTGTCTCATATTCTATTGTCACAACACAAAGAGAGTTTCAGCAAACATGTAAAAAAAACATCATATTTTTTAAAAGGTTGTATAATACTGCAGATTTAAACAGCTATTAATAGTGGTGCAATACCCTTAGTTCTTTCTGAAATCCTCTTTGAATAAGTGGACAGGCATTATTATTGTTTTTAATGTTACTGTTTGGGGAACACACTGGAACCTATCATATAACTATGCTTCTTTTCTTCTTCTCTGTAGAATTGGAGAACTTCAACAGGGGAAACTCTTAACATGTTTTACTGGGATCTAACCATAAACACAAGTAATTTTGAATGGGATAGTGAGGCCAATTTACTTCAAAACTAGAGTCACTTATGGTGACCCTAGTTTTGGACCCAGGGTCACCATAAGTGACTCTAGTTTTGGACCCAGCCATTGGACCCAGTGATGCAATGTGTTTACACGACATGCACATCTTGTCCTAGGAACAAAATGCATACTTTGCTCACATATTATGTGTGGGCATTAGTAACAGCAGCTGTTGGTGTAAATGTGGTTTGGCAGTAGTGCTGCATACACTAATAATCCCTACTCTGCGGTCTTTGCTCAGAACCGACACTATGGTTAGACTGACAGAGCTCTAATGTGCATTTCAATTTGAGTGTGCAAGTTTGCATGGCTGCATGTGGCCATAGACACTGGGTTTTCACCATCATTAGCTGGATTTAATAAGGTGGACATGATTAGAGTTGATTTGGCTCTTGGTATTTGACTGAAAATGTTGTTTGTGAGGAATGAGTCATGTGCTGCATGAAGTTTGAATAATAAAGTTAAAGTGGAAAAGGTACCTAAACTATAGACACAAACAGAAACAAAATAGGATATTATAGTGAAGAAAGAAAAAGAGATTGGTATATGTGATCTTTAGAGAGACATTTTAATTTTGAGTCAAACTGTCATCAGCTTCTGAGGCTAAGAGTCTACCACCGTTTGCCAAAGAAGAAGGAAAAAAAAAAACACTTCCAGCTGCAGCTACTTAAATTGAACACATCACTATAAACCAACGTTCAAAGACATGAGTAATGGCATTAATGAGAATATTAGTTTGACTCATACTGGATACAGTATATACTGTTTGGCAGGTGCTTTAGGGTTTTGGATGATTAATATTACAACCAATAAGTGATTTAATTGCTTAAGCTGGACATTTTTCATGCCTTTATAGGCACAAATGTGACCTGCTCTCTTCACATTCATAAGCACATAGAAAAAGACATACAAAACGTTAATCTTTGTGTTTTATCATCACAGTAGCATTTTCTCAGTGAACTAAGATGTTGAGTGAACTCTGGAGAACTTTTATTTATTCCTCTCTTTTTAATTGCTGTGAATAGTTAATTAGTACTCTGACTGTAAATATTAGTACCTATTCTTGTAAATTTCCAATTTTTAAGGAAAGTGGCTTCTTTACGGTCTCTATTTTACGATAATTTAATAATTTTAACGAATTTTATGCGTATCTGTATGCTTTGCATGTGCCTGTCACTTTGATGCTGATATATTTATTACAAACAAATCCAAAAGTCTTCTGACATGTACCTCTCACTCTGCATTTTTTTTTTTTTTTTTTTTTTTTTTTTTTGCAATTAATTAGAGGATTTCTGATTAAAACAAGCCAGTTCATGATTAATAATGTTAATTGCAATGACATTACACTTTCTAAAAGCAAAGAAATAACAGATTGCTGCACAGATAAAACCATCAATATATTTGTGATAAGGCAAATCATACAGTCTATGAACCTTACAACAAGCATTAAAGCTGTGGCAGTGCGTAATTAAAACCACATTAATAAAATAAAATGTAGTCTCAGTTCAACTAAGAGCAGACTGCTGACAAGTACAGTTTACTTACTCTCAACTTTGCATGGTAGTGAGAATTCTCTTGGACCCATAAAAAGAGTTTTAAAAAAATGCTTTTATATGAAAAGAACAACTTTTTAAATACTATTTATATAACAGTTATAGGCTCAAATGATTCTTGTTTTAAACAAGTATATTTAGTGCTGTTTTTTCATGGGGTGATTTTTTTGTTTGTTTGTTTGTTTGTTTGTTTTTTTGTTTTCTTTCTATTTATTCTGTTTTGGTAGTTTGCTCTGTGTTTTCCAGAAAGTGTCTTTCGTAATCTTGTCTCCATGTTTGGACTCCAGCCTTCAGGCACACACTTACAGTCACAAAGAACCACACAACTTGGATAGACATTCACATGGCTTTGCTTGGAGGGAAAAGTATCACATCCAAACTAATAAGACAAACATGGCAACCCAAAATGGCCCCGAGGGAGATTGGCACAGGATCTGCCAAACCATTCATTATCAGATTTGTGGAAGCAGAAATGTGTGCACTACACAGTGTAGGCAACTTTCTTAGTGACTGTGTGTATTTGTGTCAGAATTGCTGTGGCTGTTGGAAAGTTCCAAGCATAACGAAACAGAAGCTTTGCTAACATCAAAAAAGGGATTATCTTCTTCCTGGATCTCATTTCAGCTAAAGTGACGAGGGAAGCAGATCTGGGAGGAGTAGTGTGTGTAAGATCATCAGTCAGAGAAAGGCTACACTACTAAGACATAAAACCAAGGGACCATCAAGTTACTTCTTCAAGCAGCGGGAGACAAGCCAAGATTTTTGTGCCAAAACTTTGATTGCTGCACTTTCGATAGACACTTGAAGTGAGGGGGAATGTAAAGAAAGCTAAAATGAGTTTCCTGTGTGGTCAATAGACGACAGATGGCACATGATTCAGCTAAGCTATCACCGGTGTGGTTTGGAGAAGTTGGGCAAGAAGCCTCAAGACGAATTGGTACCAGTAAGGGAATGGTGCAGAAGTTGCAGGACACTTCACCACTAGCCTGAGGTGAATGGTTTCACATGCACGAGCGAGACTAAACTGTAAGAATGCAGTGCTTTCTAGCTTTGCATGTTGATAGCATTGCATGTTAAACACAGTCTTGAAGCATGACATAAGAGTGCAGTGCAGGCTGTTTTGTCACCTGCTCACATCTTTTTGAGTGTCTTCCCTTTTGAATTCAATTATGTTTGTGTTTGTTACTTACCCTGGAGATGGTGAGGGGCATGTTAAAGTCCTTCCCTCCTTGGAGCCTGAAACCCCAAGGGGCCGGCCCCAACAGAGTGACACTGTAGTTCCCGCTCATGGTCTCTTCAATTAGTATTGATCACAAGAAAAGATGCTGGTAGCGGGACAAAAATACACAGAAGATCAAATAATTACCACTTGGTTTTAAAAGGTCTGCTAAGTTGCTTCTAGACTGCCTGAGATATGACAGAAAAATGTGTTTTTGGTACAGTACAGAAATAAAAGAAGCGAGATGAAAAAAATTCAATGGATTAAAAAGTCAAGGGAAGAATGTAATACTGAGATTTAATTTCACATCATTTTATCTAAACTGGATTAAAATCTAAAAAATATATATTTTCTAACATTTCAATGCTTTTATTGAATTAGTCACTTATTCTGCAGAAGGTTGCAAAGTTGTTTATGTAAGAAATGCCCAGTCGTCCTAACAAAAAGATCTTTATAAAGTAAACATTTATACATCTGTATTTTATTACTATTTGGTGTCATTACAGCGCAAACTTAAGCAACATACCTCTTCAATGGGAATTCCAGAGAGGACAACAACTCCAGTCAGGTACTAAAGATGGTGTAATTTCCAGTTTCCCCTGCACTCCTCCCTTTCTAGCAATCCCACTGTGTGTGAGAAAGCCACAGAGGGATGCAATGCTCTTTTATACTATAGTTAATGACAGTGGGAGGGGAAAGGTGGAGGAAGGGAGAGAAAGGAGGTAGGGTGGGGAGAGTGTGGGAGGGGAGAAAAGAGGAGGAGCTTGAGCAAGGGGAGGAGAAATGAAGGAGATAATAATGAAGGGTGAGATTAAGGTATAAAGGCGACGCACTGAGGGGGCAACACGGGGGAAAACATGGATTACAGAAAAGACTGTGGGAGCGTGATATGCAGAGAAAATGACAAGAGGAGGGAGGGGAGACACAGGAGGGGAAGTGGGGAGCAAAGAGGGGACGGTTTATCTTTCATCTGGATATTTTGGGAACATGGAGTCATTGCTACGGGCCGCTTCCTTTAAGGTGAAACGATCCGTAATGAAATCAAGACCAAAGAACACACCCCAGAGGCTTCAGTGAAAAGGTCTCCCTGAGCTTGATGAAGTCATATAAACAAAAGATTCTCTCGTTCCTGTTAGAAATGTGTTTCACTGCTCCAGCGCAGTCGTTCCAACAACAAAGCAAAGGGTAGCGAGTTGTTAATCGGAGCTCTTTATTTAAGCAGGTCTGTTTTAATTATAGCATACATCCTTCATGGGAATACGAGGTATTTTCTCAGCTTTCCTGTCTTTAAAGGCTAAAGAAACAAAATTATACAATCAAGAAATTAAATTACACAAACTCCAGCATGATCCCTTGTGCATTTCGGCTTATACACAATCTGGAGTCAATTGCAGATTTTCCCTTTATTTGTTTTTCTGTTCCTCATTATTTTCCTCCTGACAATTAGCAGTTCTTCTCCCTTGGTGCTGGATTTTCTTCGCTTTATCTTTTTAGTCCAGACAGATCAATATTGACTTTGTAGTTATACGCTCATAGCACCGACTTAATTAGATACTTATGTCATTCCTGACTTGATCCTGTCTACAATACATATTCACACTGAGCCTACCTCCTGGCTCCGGATGGTGTTCACTGCAGGCCTTAGAACAGCCAAATGAACACTCAGCAGGGAGAAGCCAACATAAAGACTGGAATGAAAAGGTAGTTTTGTATTGCATTTTTAAAATGGTGCATGTGGTTTAGTTCACACGTGTACCTAAAAGAGATCCCACTGAAGAAGGAGGCAGGAGAAAGTCATTTTCTGGCAGTACTTGACATCCACTTTCACTTCAAGATGGGAAGTGGGGCCTCTCTCATCGTAATCTGTTGCATTTTTATTTAAATTTTTGAAACAATAAACCTGCACGTGGTATGCCATGGGCCTTTTCTTATCTTGTAAATAACCATTTTGGGCCACCGTGGGCAAAATACAAGGACTGGTCCCAGTCCAACATTTGCTACATCATTTTGGGGGTAATGACGAACACAGAAGAGAAGCATTGCACAGACCTTTGACTGGTTTCAAAGTGAGCACCTCTACTATTGGAAGTCTGCACATACATCACAGTGAGGAATCTACTGGAATGACAAATCCCACTGTTAATTTATAACATCTTGTTGGTAGATAAGATATCACTGTGAGTTTGTGAAGTGAAGAAATCCTTAGAACAGGCACATTTTTTGGCTGTTTACAGTAAATCATGTTCAAAGTAACAAAGATTTTATTTGTAAAATTCAACAATGTAAAAGCAAATATGAATCAGCCACATTTTCACAAGAGACCATTGTTAAGTTTGTTGACTTATTCCCATTAAATCAACATCCTTATCACCATGATAAGGTTAAGTTAGCACCATAAGAAGTCACTTGAACCTGTCTAGTTGGAGTACATATGAATGAATGAATGAATGAATGAATAAATGAATGAATGAGTGTTTAGCATTATTTTTAATGAATGCACTGGTTTTGCTTCTCCTTCTTTTTTCCCCTAGATGGTCTTTTTTCAGAGAAGGGTTTTGATCACTGCTTTATACTGTCAAATATGGCCAGAGGCTAAAAATCTGTTGCAAAGAGAACAAAGGGGGATGTGTGGGACGTGAGATAATTATACCAAACCTTAACAATAGAGAGAGTGCAGAAGCACACAAACTCAGACATCCTACAGTCTTTTGTCCTGTCCAATGGTCTATTCCAGTCCCCATATGCTCATTTCTCTGCTTGCTTATAGATCACAGCTCATCAGCCCGCTGCCAGACACACACATGGTCACACTGAGACTAATAGGATGATAATCTACCCCTCTGAATGATGTGTAATACATCAGCCACACAAGGAAAGAGGTACCAACAATCACCATTCTCGCAGCTGAACCCTTAAGCCTCACCCATCCGCACACATTATATACACACACGTTCACAACTTGACGGTGAATGCAATATTTGTTGCATATAAATCCTTTTTTCCAGGTTAAACCAGGGACAACAACAGAGGTCTAAATAATTGTTATGTAAATTAGTCCGAGATCTTTTCTACAGAATGCTGTACGGAGCATTGAGCTCAGCAACATTCCTTTCTACTCTTGCATATTAAGGTTTAAGAAAAGTTTGAAGAAAATATGTACCATATATATATTAAGTTCATGGGAGGGAATATTTTTTTATAAAACAATTTTGTAAAAGAAATGAAATATTTTGTTATATATATGAAATAATATTTTTTTCCAGACATGTCTGTATTTACAGTATCTACAAATAGCAAGACAAACACCAGTGTAGATGTTTATTTTGGGGAGTGTACTTTGTCTGGCCCCAGTCTAATCAGTCTGACCCTTTCAGACTAATATAAGCCTATAGCTAATCCCTTCACCCATCTTTGTACAGTGAATCACCCACAGTTTGTTTAGTCTCTAGGGTTTTCAATGACATACAGCACTTTATTTGTTGTTGTTGCAATTTGTAAAACAGTTGAGACATTTTACTTTAATAACATATGTGCAAAAGCTTTGCATATATGTTGCAGGATCCCAAGATGTTAGTGTGAATAAGCATGTGCAAAATTCAAAAACAATCCTGTTATAAGTTTTTTTTTTCTTCTCCTTTTTAAACCCAATCACTCCTCATAAGTGTTCTCTCTCACACACAGGGGAAAACATGTTCCCTTTCTTATCTGCCAAGCTGTCAAGAATGAACAGACAAGCACACCAGAAGGCATATATCTCAGTGCTAAATGACAGTTTAGCTTAAAACACGGGAAAGAGAGAAATAAATCTGTTTTCAGGGAATTAACCAGCAGGTGACGCAGACACAGACCCAAACAGCACTTGGACCTCATGGAGACGCATCTGCTCAAAGCATGGGTCAAAGATAGGTCATTATAAGAGAGACATTTAAAGCCAAGTGTAATGTTTCCTTTGGGATTTAAGGAGAACACATGTCAAATAGGCCATCCAGCACTTCAGACTGCAGGCATCAGCTGCTCAAAATCAGTCTGTCAGTCTCTAATTTGGAAACTAACTAACTACAGGTAGAGAGTGATGTTTGCCCATGTAACATCACATAAACAAAACAAACAAAATAATAAATTACATATCAGTGCATCTAAAAGTATCTGATTAAAACTGGCTAAATTTGTTGTTAAATGCTTCTATTTTTGTGACTATATATATATATATATATATATATATATATATATATATATATATATATATATATATATATATATATATATATATATGTATATATATATATATATTTTTTTTTTTTTTTTTTTTTTTTTTTTCCCTTTTTAAAAAAAAAATATCTCAAG